ATATACCCTCCAGCTCCCTGTGTGGGGGGGGGAGGCACAAACCGCCCTAGCGGGAACTCGCTCCCCGTATACGCGTGCGTACTGGGTGGAACTGCGCCTGCGCGCTGGAGGTGCTGCCCAGCGCGGGAAAGTTGGCTATTGAGTTGGCTTGTTAGCTGCTTCTAGAAGCTTCTGAGGAGAGCGTCGGCCTAGGCGTGCGTCTGGGCGCTCGTAGCTATAATGCTGCTGGTGACTAAGGTTAGAGGTTTTGTTCCTCTGAGGAGGAATGTAGAACTAGGACAGGGTGTAAAGAAAGCTATGGAGGTGGGAGGAATAAAGCAGGAAAAATAGTTTCTTGTCAGTCTTTTCCTTCATCTTCTGCCTTGCTCTCTTGTACTTGCACTTACTGAGAGCCCTGTGAGACAGGGTGAGGTTGGGAAGAGGGGGGAGTCTGGGAAGGGAAGTCAGTTCCCTTTCCAGAAGTATTTGTATCAGTTGTGTTGTTAGGGAGGTAGACGTCCTTTCACTTCCTGCAACGTGCTTGTCTCAAGGAAGTGGTTTGGGACAAGAGGGTTAAGTGAGTTCTCGCTTCTTTCTGAGGTAAATATCCTTTTTGGCATTGGGATGGCCCTGGGATTTGTGCTAACGTTCCTATTTTCATTTACTTCCTAGTACTGAAGTGGGCACGTATGGTTGCTAGAAATAAGTTAGGAAAGCTCGCCTTTTCTGTGGGTATGCTTCATCTGTGATACTCTGATATTTCTTTTGCTGGTTCTATGCTTCTCACCCTAAGAGATGGAAGGAAGTTATTCATGTGTCTCACATGTAGTTCTTGGTATTAAAGTGTCCCTAGATGCCCGAGGGTGGGATATGCATCTTCATAGAGCATGTTACAGTGCAGCACTAGAGATTTCGGTATAACCTCATTGGTACAGTTGTGTGGTACGTTATTAGGTAAAGCTTCCAGAATAAGCTGAGCTGTTTTGTTATAGTGTCAAACTTGGAGTAATTAGCACAATCTCAGCAAAACATGTTACTAATACAGCTGCACTGTGGTTGTGCAGCTGTGTGCTTTTGGTTCAGCACTTACTCGTTCAACAGTGGCTTTGGAAGTGCATGGCCAATATCTTGACTTTCCTCTCCCTAAATGTTTTATTAGGCACCTACTTGTCGTGTAAATTCTTCTAAGTGGTGGGCTAAACATTGTAGCAATGAAGTTGTGATGTGCAAATCTTCCAAAATTGAATACAAATTGCTTTCACTTGTAGGTAACATGTTCTTCCATTGTAATTCTTAGGTATGATGTGTTGGGTTACAGAGAGCAATGTCAAATATCAGTAAATATTTCCATTGTGTTAAAATCATTTTCTAAGGTTGCAACTCCATCATGTTTTTAGTGATATAAGCACCTCCCTGTGGTGACTCTGTCCATTTGATCAGGTACCTAGATTTTAGCTGCTCTATTTTAAACCAGAATATATCTGTTGACCTTTGATGTAAGACAATAGCCTATATACTGGAAGTACACTGAAGATAATAAATATGTTCTGAGGTACTGAAAACTGGGGTGCTCATATGTGAGGAAGAGTGGGTGGTGAGTCTTAATAGTGCCTTATCAAGAAAGCTGGTTTAAACCCTTTAACGTGTAAATCAGCTGTCCCTTTCAAAAGGAGCAAAAATCTTGGGCCTACTGTATGGGTATGCTTTTCAGATGTGCTTCAAAACTTATGGCAGCTTTGAAAATGGTTTTGCTGATTTCTTACAGCAGTGTTGAAGAAGACTCAGTAGCTGAGAATGATGGAAGTCTTGATATTAGAGGTATACTGATATTTTTAAAAGTAGAAAGAATTGCTGTTTGTTTACTTCAATGAAACTCTATGAAAGACATTTAGAAATAAGACGATGCCTTTGTGTTTCCATTCAGCAGCCATTTCTTATATGTGCAGAGTCAAATATGGGTTGTATGTGTTTTCTCATTTCTCTTAGGACTTTATCTCGTTTTCGTTTCAAAAGAGATCAGTAGGGATACTACTAAAACTTAAAATGGAAGATGCGCTGCATATTTTTAAATATGAAATAATACTAGTTTCTATTGAATTCTGCAAAATAATTATGAAAAAACTATTGCCCCAGAACAGTGAGGACCTGGATTAGCTGAAATACTGGGGTATAAATGTTGACAAAGCCTGAGCAGAAAGAAACCTATCGCTGCATTTTAAAGAAACTGTCTTTTAGGCCCTCTGAGCATGAAGAAAAATCCATCTGTGGAATTCTTTTATTCTTGGGTGGGTTTTTGTTTTTGGCATAGTTTTTGAAGGCAATCTGGAAGTACAAAGCTTTGTCTTTGCACTTTACTTGCAGTGTTCGATTTAAGCAACTTTTTGAATAATGTTATTGCCTTTGACATGCTTTTGTTAACTGAAGTGCTAAAGAAACTTCCGAGGTGGGAAATCATTTAATGAACTAATGATCTGAAGCTGAGAGGTGCTTTGCTTGTTAACGTCCTGTATGTTAGGTGTCAGTTGCTACAATTTTTAAAGTGCCTGTCTTTAAGTCTTATTTTAGCTTTTATTGCTCAGATGTTAACAATGTCTTAAAGTTTTAGTGGGAGGTAATACTATTTGTTACTGTAATCTTTTTTTTCTCCTTCCCTGTGTTTCACTTTTTGGTTAGATTGAAGATCCAGGTTGCTTTTGGGTTACTGTAAAAGGATATGGGCCTTATGTAGTCAACGAAATAGAATATAAAAACCTGAATGCTGAAATGAATCAATTTTATGACAAATCTTGTCAAGATGCAGATGAAATGAAGCCACTAATGTTAGAAGAAGGCCAGGTAAAATCATTGCTCTGTTATGTACACAGAGAGAGAAATTACGTTGTACATAGAGAAAGAATTGATATTTGCATTGATTTGGGAGTGAAGTATCCGAGATGTGCATCTCGGATCTTTTTTGAATATTGCTATGTAGTAAGGTAGGGAATGGCATCCGTGTACATTATACCTGCTTAAATGCAAGAACTTCATGGCTACCTAAGCTGCAATGTGTGCAGATTAGAAAAGATCATTGAGGTCCATATAATAAATAGTACGTTCTTGCCTCTGAAAAAGCTAACAATATAATTAGCTCCATTTACAATAACTTACTGTCTTGTTTTTTCTTTTACAGGTTTGTGTGGTTTTTAGCAAGGAACTGAAATGCTGGTGTAGAGCAGTTATTAAGTCAATTATGTCCTGTACAGATCATTATCTAACAGAATGTTTTCTTGTGGATTATGCCAAATATATTTCCGTTAAATCAAATGAGTAAGTGTTATTTGCTTCTTTGAGACTGTCACTGTAATATATTTGTTAATTAATGCACACAAAGATTAACCATCACAGGACTTTGGTGTAATTAAGGTGTGACTTGGGTCCATGAAAGACTGCTAGCCTTATGTTGGACCCTTGCTAGCGTGGATGAAGACCAATCTTTGTTCTGTTTTCAAAACCTTTTCTATTGCAGGTTTTTCTGTAATTAGAGGGGGGGAAAAAAGCTGAAAAAGTGGCAATTTGTGTCTGGAATGTACTATTGCCAATTAATGTTATTTAAATATATTTCCCTCCCTTATTAAGAGATTATGTACTACCAAAATTGAAAATGATAACCAGTGAGGATCACTGACAAAGCGTATGGAAGCAGGGTTTCAGTTGCTGAACGTCTTTGACATGTACACGCGGTATTGATTTTTTTAAATGTATTAGCTTGTTTACTTTATTAAGAGCTGACAGTCTGACTTGGCATGGTGTAAAAAGGTCAGTTTTCTCTTTTTTTCTACTTCTGAATAAAACCAGTGTGAAACCTACTCTTTCTAAAACCTTGAAATACGACAAACAAGCAAGCCTGTTTCAGTTCTCAGCTTCAGATACAGTTCCTTCGCTTAAAATATGCAGCTTTGAGCACAAGAAGTGTTAATAAATGTCTTTTGGAGTATTTAACAAAATTAAGAAAGCTTATTTTAAAACAAATGTTAAAGTTAAATTATGTTTTTTAACTGGATGTCCCTTTATGAAAGAGCAGCTTGACGCTACTGTGAGTTTAAAAGTATGTTCTGACAGAAGTAAACGTATTGCTTAATTTACTACTTTTTAATAAGAATTCAAAATACAGATCTTAAAAACATGTTATGTATAGTATCTTGCTGTTTATTAAAAGCCTCTCAGCAAACTGAGTGTAAGGGATAATTACTTATTAATGAGTATTTTAGTGAAAGCTTTACAAAGAGTAAGGAAAATAAGTACAAATGCAAATGAGGGAAATCAGTATATTTAAATTGATTTCCTTCTCGTTGATCTTAACCAAATCTGGTTTCTCACCCAGAAGTAAGAATTGCCAAGCGATATATGTAGTACCAGATGGTATACATGATAGTGTGAGGGCTAAATTTCATGAAAAGACTTAAACTGTAGAGGGTAAGGATCAGAGAGCTTTCCAGTAAATGGGAAGCATATTTCAGAGCAAATATATTCACTAATTGCTGCTAACAGCACCTTTCTTGGAGAGAAAAATAAAACAGTGGTTCCAGGAAGTTTGCCAGTAAGCGCCAAACTTCTAGAAGAACTGTTGTCAGGTACAGGATAATGGGAGGATGTGCATGAGGGACCAATGATATATGGAGAGTAAAATTTTCTCTGTAAAAAGCTCTTGTTCTGCTTTGCTTTTAAGCATTCGAGTTGCAGTGGAAGCGTTTATGCAAATTCCATATAGAGCAAAACAATGTGGACTGTATCGCACAAAGCCAGTGACTTTGCATATCAACTTTTGTGAAGATACTGCAAAAATAGTGTAAGTAGAGCTTAAGAATAAGTGTACTATAGTCATACGTCTTTTAGGCATGAAACTTTGCTGAATTTTCTTGGAAGAGAATCTGTTTTAGGAAGAACATAGGAGATCAGGTTTGGAAAACTCTCTGTTTCAGACGAGCAGTTCATTAACAGAACAAGCCCCACTTTAAAACCAGTTAGCTAAGCTTTCCTCAGTACCCTATTGGAAGCTTCTGTTACCTCTTAATGCTGATAGTTAGAATCATGTAATATTTTAACTGTGTTCATAATTAGTTCATACTTAATTGCTCTTGTGCCAGCAGTATTCTTCAACATGCTTCTCTTCATAGTTTTCCTTTCCTCAGGATACTTAAAAAGAGCAATCATATCTACTTCTAGCCTTTATTTTTTTGCTTTAAACAGTCAAAGTGCACCTAATCTTTCCCTAAAAAAATTTCCCTATATGGTTGTTTTTCCTCTTCTGATCTTTTTTAAGACTTTAGCACTTTGCTGAAATTCAAATTAATATTTTCTTAAACATGAGTGACTTGAACTGCCTATGCCATTCAGAGCTTTTCATAAAAGTCAGATATTTTGTAAAAGCCTGAGAGGAGATCTGCCATCTTTCCCATGGCTAAAATAATCAGTTACTGAAAGAAGTAGGAGGCTACAGTCACAGTTTTATCTATGTTTAAGTTTTTTCTTCCTTTTTTTCTTCATATTTTTGATGCATTCTTTCCTTAAAACAAACAAAAAACAGCTGTTTGGTCTATATGGAGTCAAAGAAGAGTTTATAGTTGGTCTAGTCTCTCCCCCCCCCACACACACCTAGTTTATATTCCAGTTTCATGATATCATAAATCTCAGACTTGATGAAAATACTACTTCTAGACTAATGAGTAGGTATCTGCTGTTTCAGAATTCTGGGATGCATGTTGTCTACTTAATCTAATTTGATAGCCTTAGTTAAGTAAGGGATTGCTGTGTAGGTTGTTTAAAGCCGAAGTTATTAAGGAAGTATAATTTATCTGTTTGAACCTTTTAATATTTATTTAGACACTTTAGAAAACTGAGACAAACTTCTGGTAGTTTCTCCTCCTTCCTCGACCACCTGCTGAGATATATTTCTCGATTTCTAGCATATGACCTTCTTTACCAGTCCATCCCTTTGTGGTATGTCTTGCATGTGCTCTGCTTATTCCCAGTGTTCTTTTTTGTGGTAATTCTATATCTAGCTGAACTGAAGATCTACAGCCTTTTCCAGATAGCTTTCTCTTTTGCCCTTCTACCTCTCCAGCTGAGATGTTTTGGATTCCTGTTGTACTTCTGTTATCTCGTTAGTATCAGTTTTGTCTAATTGCAGTTATGAAGGACTGGAATAAATTTTTCACTAGGGTCTTATGGTAATGCAAAATACTTTTGTATCCTTGAGTTCCAGGAACCTATTGTTGAAGACCCTGCCAATTTGAGAGGGATATGGTTAGTTCACTGGGGAATATGGCTCAACAGCAAGAAACTTACTTGGGTTTGCATGTTGTTAAAGAATATTTGAAACTAGATGTAGTCAAGTAGTTTATTTTTATACTTTTTTTGGAAGAATGAATGAGTATTTGATTTTGATACTCCGACAGAACAAATGCTAGCCTAGTTTGAATTGGAATAGCATACATTTAGAGTGGGCTAGCTATGTAAATTATCAGAAAGGTAATAGGTATATAAATGATTCAGCTCTTAGTGTTCTTTAGTTGATTCCGTTAAAATACTTTTATATTTGCAGCTGCAGAGCGTGATAAAGATAGACTTTAACGTTCTATTATAGGCCTTTCAGTCTTCAACACTTAGCATTTGTAAAGTGCTTGTTCAAAATTACTCACTAGTTATCTTACTAGAAATAATTAATGTATTTTGCAGGTGGATTCTTACTCTATTTTTGGTTATTCTATTTAATTTCTGATTATCCTATTTTTTATTGGGTGGAGGCTATCATATCTTGACAAAGCCATATGCAGTAACTTTCAGTCAGAGTTCATTTTATTGATAAACTATAAAACATGGTTGCAAAGACTGAACTTGTACTCTAAGAAGCAAGATTCTACTAATGTGTTCTAGTGGATACAGTTTTTAAGACTTACCATGATTTGAGACAAATCATTTTTCATATGCATTGATTTTCATAATACCATTTTAATTGTTGATGTTTTGGATAACTGGGTATGTTTATTTTCCTAGACCAGCCAAAAGATGGGATTGTGCTGCTACTCAGTATTTTCAAAACCTTCTCAAAGGTAAATAAAATATCCTGTCAGAATCGTAATTGGTACTTTTACCTTGGGAAAAATAAGCCATCAGAGCCATGAGGTACTTGGGTTTATGTATTTGATTAATTTTCACAAAATTCTTAAGTGTACAAATTAAAAATGAAAAGCAAATAGTTACATAAAAATTTTTTTATATGAATTGACTAAGCCAAAACTATGAAGGGATCTGCGCCTTGAGTACTACATGCTTCCATGCCATGGAAGTGTTGATAGTTAATTAGGTGGTATCTGGCTCTGATTTCCTCAGGAAGGCTAAGTAGTGTAACACTCACGTATAACATCTGTTTTCGGCAGTGGAACCTTTCTATGCCTTAGGCTTAGACTTTCGAATCGGCATCACAGCCATCCTAGCTAGCTGCTGTTGTTATGTAGTCTGGTATAGAGATGGCAGGGTCTGGCTTACCGGTTTACTTACCCCTTCAGGTGTTATGTAACTTGATCCCAGTTATGTTGTTTTGTAGACTGTGCTCGAAGTAGATGTTTAGTAAACTAGGACTACCTGTTTTCCAATCTGTTCTTGTGCTTTCCCATGTTCAGTGTTTCAGTAGCTCGTCCAGTCTTTCTCATATCTGGCCTTCTGTTTTGGTATGAGGCAGCTGTTGGTCTTATTTTAAAAGGAGCTTTATACTAAAATTGTCTTTAATCTTCTTGCTAATGTGCTTTTATCTGAAAAAAACCTACATATTTTTAGGTGGAGTTTGATCTACTTGTGAGTAAGCAGGTATTTGAGGGGAAGAGGATGAGTATGAAAGTAATAAAGAGTCTTTAGGCTGATAATGTCCCACTAATGGGAACATAGGGCTTTTCACGATTTAAACTGTTCACACGTCTTAAATGTCATAGATTATTATTTAAAGTAAAGGTTTGTAGGGAGTAATGATAATATTGAATTTTGTCTGGGGATATCTCTGAAACTATACTGTTTAGAAATAACATAAGCTTTTTTTTTTACTAGTACATCATTAATGCATGCAGCAAAATGCTTCAGAATTTTCTAACAAGCATAATGATTAGTGAGGTTTATTGCTCAAATAAAGAGCATAACCAAACTATTCAACTGTGCAAATGTCTTCCTTAAAGAAAAGTAAATCTCATGATTGGAAAGTATGCATTTGTACTAAAGATTGCCTGAGGCTAAAAGATAAACTAAAACTTTTAGTGTAGAACTAGGACTACTTTGTGTGGTGAGGTCATTTGTTTGTTTCGGCTCTCAATCTTCCTTCAAAAACTAAGGACAACTTAATTCTTGTTACTTTGTTCTTGAGTTTTTGTTGACTTGTTAAACTCTTACTTCATCTAAAAGTTACAACATTTCTATTAGTTTCTCTTCAAAGAAATATGTTACACTCATTTAACTGTTTTTTGTCATGTAACTTTTTGTCTAGTTTGGAAAGTACAAGTAGAAATGCTGATAATTTGATAAGAGGTTAATCTTTTTCCCCTTTTTGTGCTTCTGTTACTACATTTAGCAACTACCCAAATAAAAGCCCAATTATGTGCTATAGAAGGTGACAAATTTGATGTTCTGCTTTATGTGACAATAAAAAATGAAAAGGTAAGATTTTTGTGTCTACAAATCTATTCACACACTTCACTATATACATCATAACTTTGTGATCAGTTTAAAACTGAAAAAGGTATTACTTCTAAATAAGTTTTATAATTTCTGTCAGGTACAGTAAAAGCTAAATCATTTACTTACTAAAGATTTTATTTTATATTTGTGTTGCTCATAACCTTCTGGAGGGATTTTGAGAGGCAAAAATTCTTTTTTTTTTTTTTCCCAGTGCACCTCTCTTTTGTTGTTATTGAATAACGAGTGAAGTACAGTTCTTTAGAACTGCACAAAGATACCTTGCATAATCAAAATAAAGTACACATTCTCATAGAGTATTTGAATATACAGTTCGCCTTGCAGTTTTGTCCTTTCAAATAGTTACTTAATTTCTGTCAGCTCCTGATAAAGAATTTCATCCAATTATATTTTATGAATTTGTCACTTACGATCTAGCTTGGTTTAGGTCCAAGTATAGCTATTAGAAGAACATAATAGATTACAAGGAAGAAACTGTAAGTAAGGCTCACAGAAAATGAGTGTTAGGTTCTAAAAGGTGTTTTCCTGGTGATTTAGCCTGGTAAAAATCTTAGCAGCAGCAGCAGTTACCTGAATAGGTCAGTTTTTATGCACCACAGCAACCTTGTTTGTCTTTATTTCTTTCTTGCCTAAATCTCATTGATTTCAGTGAAATGTTAAATTTTAAAGTAACATATCAAGTTCTTGTTTAAAAAAAAAAAGCAGCAAATAAGAGAAGCAAGAATTTTAAGGGTGTCTGTGTAAGCAGAAACTTGAATAAGAAACTAAGGGTTCTCTGCCCAAACAACATATGAAATGCATAGGGAAGTGTATGAAAGCTAATATTAGTGTTAAAACCAGAGCACTGTCATTTCAAGGTGGAGTTATTAGGATTAACTTTAAATGATCTGGAATTACACTGAATGAATTTTTGTAATCTTTACTTGGATTTCCTGTAGCGGTAATGCACAGCTGTTCATACATATGCATTTGTATTTTGGAGGTTACAGCACTTAAATGTGCAGTTAAATGGTACGTTTCAGAAGCCAGTGCCTGTTTTCAAGGAGTATTTATCTTTGCTTTTAAAAAAAAAAAAAAAAAAGTGAATTACTGAATTAGTCTGCACCCTGCACTGAGTTGTCGCTTTCAAAATATGCAGTAAGTAATTCAAATGAAAGGCTATTGTGAATTATTTTTGTGAACCTTTTGTGATATCTTACTTATTTTTATATTATTATGCAACTGTCTTACTGAAACCTATTTAAATACCATTCTCTTGCATAATACTGTGTCCTCAAACTTTTGGAAAAACTAGATCCACTTGCACAAAACAGGTAACTGACTTTTGCTAGATCTCTTCTGTCACTACTGCATAACTTAAGCAGCCATTCAATATGTATAAATAAATTAATTTAAACATTGCCTCTGCGCTGAGGTTTACCAAGGCTTTTAGCACAAACCATAGCTTCAGTGTTATAGACAATAGCTTTGAAGGTGCTATGGTTTGTGCTGCAGACAATAACTTTGAAGGTGCATACTGATTCTAATCTCTTTCATCAGTTCAGAAACCCAAATAACAATAGTGTCAGTGATCTTGTTTGAGGCAACAGGGTTCTAGAATTTATAGGTATAGTAGTATTTTGTCCTGCCGTCTTTTTGATTTTATGCTTATGCTGAATCAAACAGAATTTAATCAGCTTGACTTAATAGTTCTGAATTTTTTTAGGGGTCCCAGAAAGAGTTAATTGGATATAGGATTTTAGTGAAAAGTCTCAAATTGACAACTAGTTAACACTGCTTTAGAGAAGATATATGAAGACATGACTTCTTTTCCTATTCTTCAGAAAGCATTCACAGACACCTTTTCAGTCTTGCTGTTGCTTAAAGCTTCAAATGCGTCCTAAAAAGTATATAGTGTTGTAGTTTATTGCCTGTTGATGGTAGTTAAGAAATACATTGTTTTGTAGGTATGCGTTAATGATGATCTTGTCTCAAAGAATTTTGCTCGTTTTGAGGAAGCTAAAGAGAATACAGAGAGTCCTGCAAACGATCAAGAGAGCCAGACGTTAAATGTTGAGTCTCTTCCACTGAAAACTGTTAATCCTGCACTTCCTTTTAGCCCAGTGCTGTTTCAGGAGAAGATATGCATAAATCTTGAAACAGGTGAGCACCAGGCATATTGGAAACAATCATATATACAATGTACCATGTATCTTTAATTGGATATGTCATACCTGGACCAGGTGTCTTGATTCGAGTCCACCAATCAGATCAAATGATTTTCCCCTAACAAAGGATACTTATGTATCAGAAGAGCGATCAAATCATCAGAAGCAGCAATATTGTAAAGCTTTTTGTAGTGTTTAAGACTACGGAAGGCTAAGGGTGAGTTGATGTGGGCTTTTGTTGATATGTCTAATAGTATTAGATGTTCTTATTTAAATTACACTTAGCTTTGATCAGAAGTAGGTTGTTTTTTGAGTTTGGAGGGGTTTATTTAAACAGAGGGACTTATAAAACTATATTATTTATTGCTAAGTTGTTTACAGTGATTCAAATCTCTCTCTTTTTTTTTTTAGTATGCAACTTTCCTTGTTTGGTCCATATTTTAGTTTTTCTGCATAGTTATCTTTAGAACTGTAAAGCTAACTGCATAGAATTTTTTTTTCCATTAGAGAGGAAATGATGCAAGAAACTCAACAACAAATCTGTGGCAGCCTACTGTAGATAGTAATACTGGCGTACTGGTTTTGTATGTTCTCAGGTAACTTAAAAATGCAGAAACACACCTATGATTATCTTTTTCCTAGATCATGCTGTTTCCACCTCTTTTCTTTTCAAGAAAGGACTGCACAGTCACCAAGTGTCAAGCACAGGTCTAAATGGAAGTACTGGATCTGTAAGTATTGTATTTCAGATTATATTATCAAAGACGAGTTAGATTAAATTTATGTAGCATAGGTAGCAACTACTGTAATCATCTAGCTTGTTCTTCTACATAACGTAGGTCTGGGACTATACTAATTCTTGATATGTTTCAGAACATTCTACTTGAATACTTTTTAATGTGCACTGAATTACACAGTTGGAGCTATGACACTTCCATGGGAAGAAAGGAAAATGAACAAATAGCTTTTAGACAAATAGTGACTAGTGTGGCCAGTCTTTCTCCATAAAGATCCTGTGTGCTGTCCCGTGTCCTCTTCTGTGAGATGCTTTAAGGGAGAGATTTGCTGCTTTGTTAGGAATGGTACTAGCTCTCCCCTCAGCTCAGGGAAAAGGAGATTTACAGAAGTTATTTTCTAGCTTTGAGAACTGGAGGATAGCAACCACTCTTGAACTTACCCTGGAATATCTTATTAAAAGATTTTGAAGAGAAAAAAGATGGAAGTAGTAGTGTAGATTGTTACTAAAGCAGAGCAGGGTTACCATTATAATCTTCTGCAACAGCTAGCTGAATTATCTTTACCAGCCGCTTGGGTGATGCAGGTCTTTCTGATGAAGTTTTACCTATGTGATTGCTTGTGGTTCATGATGAATGCTAATAAATCCCCTCTTCAGTAACTGAAGATCTTTAAGGTGACTTGGGATTTAGTATCTGCTACAGCTTACTCCCTTGAGCAGTTGGTCTGTCATGCAACTTAAGTCTGTACACATTCACTTTGTATATGAGCGTGTGGATAACCAACTCTGAAATCCAGCTACGGATAGATAGCTTGTTCTTTTTTTTTTTCCAGTTTGTAGTGTAAAGGCTTCTGATTTTTTTTCTTTCTGTTTTGAAGGCACAGTATATGTGTAAGAATTACTATGTGTTCATACTATAAATCGTGTTGGTTAGAGCTGTAGCTTAAGATATGACCGTAAACTAATTTTAGAAAATATTGTGGTGTAACAAGTTAGACTTTTTTTTCCTGAAGTTTGTTTCGTCAAAATTGTTGCTATAATCAATCAAGCTTCCAGTTTTGTACAAAGAGAAATCCAAATAGTTGGAGAATTCTGGAGTTTGATAAGAAATCCAGTTTTGACTCTGTAGACTTAAATATTTTTCTGAAATGTTTTTCTTGAGTAGTATTTTAATGTTCAAAAAATTTGTTCATCTTTTCCTGTTAGATTGTTAAAGCAATGCCGGGTTTGCCTTTCAAGGAAAACACAACTCTTTCTCTTCATGCAGGCAGGTATGGTTCAATGTGTAGAATATTTAAAATAAATAAAAACCAAATTCATAGAAGCTGTAGTATGTTTTTGGTTACTATTCCGAGGAAGTTTGGAGGGAGAGGGGGGGGAAGATGCATACATATGCTTTTGAGGAAGAGGGGATTTTGAAGTTGCTGACATTTATCCACACTACACCAAAAAAGCAATTCCTTCTAAAAAATAGTATAGCAAGCATGTTTTGAGGAAATGTTGTTCTGCATGCTAAACAAGTTAAGTTACTTCAGTTGATTCTTACCATAATTTATAATATGTTCTCAAACTTAATGAAATAAGAACATGAATTGCTTTGTGCCGTGCTTGACGATTGCCTAGGCTGCATGTCAGCAGACGAATATGTAGTAAGAGTGTTTTTTTTAATTCACTTTCTAACTGATGTGAAAGTATGGGTTTTTTTTCATTTCTTGAAACTTCAAAAAACCCTTTTCCTACACTCACATCTGATTTCCCTTCTCTGTAACTTGAGGCAGTTACCAGTTAATTTTTATGAAGTTTTCCTTTGTGCTGTTTTTAGACGCTGAAAAGCTAGTATAGCAATTTGTAATCCATCAGAAATACTTTGTGAATGAATTCTTGCTTTGTGAAAAGATTTTAGAAATATTGGTGATATTTATAAATTATGTTTTACTCTTTATATTGAACTTCATGTCTGGCCGTTTCTCAGACTCCTGCAGTTCTTAAATTCTGATCCTCTGAAGACCCACTTTATTAAAGATGAACAGCAGGTATTTCAGGCATTAACTTTCATTTAACTTGTCTTGCACAAATTGTACTAGTCAGTTTTTAATTGTATTTTAATGGTATAGTTGAGAACTAACTGTGCATGGAACATATAATGCGTCCTTTTGAGTAGTTTAAGACGGTTGCTGTGTTATCCCAATCCCTTTATTAAGAAAGGGGTACAAATAGCGGCTTGTCTCACCTCTGTGGTCTGTGTAACTGTAAATACACTTTAAATATGTATAATGATGAGATAAATGTGTTTTGCCTATTTTCATCAAAATACCGTCTTTAAAGAACAAGAAATGCTTTTCTGTTATTGTATACAAATTGAACCCTTTTATTACATATTGTCCTTAAAACTGTCTTTTACTTGTCATACAGTTTCAGAATTTTCAAAATGTTAGTACAAAAGGAGACTTTGTTTTTCTTAGCAACAAAATTGAACCATCTTCAGTTCTGGAAACAGCACCACTTTTTGATGATCTGAAAAAGGTAATGCTAATATTTAGTGTCTCACTGATTGTCTTTAAGGCTAAGTATCATGCCCCAACATAGACCTCAGATAATATGTCATTGTGGTAATACGTTATTTTGACTGAAGAACGTTTAGGAAACTGTTCCTGTAATTGAATAAATGAAGAAACTTTAGAGAGATCAGTCAGACTTGGACAGCTTTCTTCTCATGTATCAACCACTGCCATACGTTATGAGATTTGAATCTAATTTTAGCTTATTAATATAACTCATCGCCCCAACAGGTGTTTTTTCATACTTCATGCTAAGTATGTTTATTGTGAGGTGAGTCAAAAGTCTTTAAAATACTCCATGTTTTATCCTGTTTATTAACAGGATTAACATTAACATTTAAACATTTACATTTAACATTAACATTTAAATACCTGCATTAACATTTAAATACCAATTTTTCATGTGGAACTCTTAATCTCCCTTTCTGTAGGAACTTATTCGGAAAAAATTTTTAGGCCCTAACTTCACAGAATCTTATTGTTGGCCACCAATAGCTCGAGGATGTGATGTACTTGCCATCTCACCTCAGGGAAATGATCCTCTCTTATATGTTCCGCCAGTTCTTACGTTTTTGCAGTCAGAAAGTTGCTACAAATCCTTGCCAAGTAGGAGTGGGGTATGTATATATTACAGAGTGGTATCAGTTTTTCTGTTTTAAAGTACAGATGTAGAATAATGATCCAAAAAATGCTGAATGTTTAATATATACATGTTAAGTACTCTTAGTATAGCTCTATAATGTTTGGCAGATTATATAAGCCTCCTGCTTTAAGGCTTACAGACTACATGAATGGGGAGTTCTAAAACTCATTTATCAAGTAATGTCTAAGAAGTGATTAATGTCATATCACTTAGTCCATGAAGTTTTGCTTTCAAGGTGATAATCAATCCGCACTTAATTCAGATTTATATTAGCTGTTTTAAATATCTGAATTCCTTTTGTAGCTTTTATCAGATCATAGAAACAGAATCATTGAGCTTGGAAGGGACCTCTGGAGATTGTCTAGTACAACCTCGGATTAGATAAGATGCTGCTATTTCTGTGTTAGGTTTCTGGACGTTTTACTGTATGTTGCTGCATGCATCCTTCTTTTTGTCTCCAGGTAACCTGACCTGTGATTCCTTGTGTCTAGAACATCTGCATTTAGGATATATTATAGTACTAAAAGCTTCAGTTTTAAAGTATTTAAAATTCTGTTTTGCAGGTTTTATTTTTCCCTTAAATAGTGAAAAATACAATTTAAGATTCTGAACTGTTGTCTAATACTGTGTAAAATTGTCTGTATATGTATACAGCCACTAGCATTAATCGTATGTCCTGGATGGAAGAAGGCACAACTTACTTTTGAATTATTGAAAACATACAGCAGATGCTCCAGACCGCTTCATCCAATGTTGATAATAGTTGGGCAAAACAGAGAAGAAGCTAGAAATGTGAAAATTCATCGAGGATGTAAGAACACTTTTTTATTTTTTATTTTATATTTATTACTTAATTATGCTTGAAAGCTATATGGGCTGCCTTAATTTCAGAACATTGTGAAAGAAGCAATTAATAGTTTGTAGGTCTTTTATTCTACAAAGTGATAATTCTCTCTTGAACACTGTAACTCCGTAGTGGTATATGAAGCTCCAGTAATGCTATTGAACAGTAAATGTTATTAAAGCTATTCTGCGCTGTTCTGCCTCTGAATCTAACACTTGCATACTCAGCATCTTTGTTTTAAGCTCCGTGGCAATTACTCTTGAGTCAGATTAGTTGTAGGGATATGCTGAAGATTAATGCTGGACTTTGATTTAGAAGTAGTTTTGTAATAGCTTTGGTTGATATGTGATATCTATTGCAAACGAAGGTGATATCTATGTGTGTGTGTGTGTGTGTATGCATATATATATATATGTGTGTGTGTATATATATAAAATAAATATTTGGGGGACAGGTCTAAGGTTCTTTACAGCGTACACACTGGATACAATTCTACTCTACTCTTAATATAAAGAGAGTATTGGAAAAGTGAAGGATTAAAAAGGAGATAATAGTTCTCTGAATAAAAAGTTGCTTAAATTATGAATCTACTATTCTTTGAAATTTTCTTTTTTTATGGCAATTTCCAGTTGTTTATTGCAATCTGCTTATTGCAATAAATTCTAAGAAATTTGTATAGGTAACAGTAGTAGTGTGTGGAGGATACTTCACAGAGAAGAGGAAGCATAGAAGAGACAGAAAAGCTGTTGAGAGACTTGCCCTATTAAATCTATATTTACTAAAAACACTTTATTTAGTTTTGCTAATCCTCTGTGAGCTTTTTGTTTACCCTTAACAATCTCAGCTATGAGATCAGATCATGCTGCTCAGGGCTTTAGCCAGTCAGGGCTTGAAAATCTCCAGGGGTAGAGAATGCACCAGCAGACTAAAAATGACTGTCAACCAGAAGTCAGAAAGTGTGTGTGTGTGTACGTACCCCTCCCCCCCACATGCATGTATATATGCATGCATGTGCGTGTACATATATGTATATATACACACATATGTATGTATATAAATATTCAAGATGATGCATCTGAAATACAGATAGGACCTTTCTAATAACGTGAGTATGTTCTATAGTATTTTTACTCATACTCTTTCAAGGTATGAATTAAAAATATAACTTTTTTTCTTCTAACCTGTAGGTGAAGTTATCGTGACTACACCGTACAGCCTCTTGAGACTGTTTGAACATCACAGTTTGTTATTTCTCAGACTTTGCCATCTTATTTTTGATGAGATTGAGATACTGTTCTCTGAAGCTAGTGAACAGGTGAATGGGTTTCGTGTTCAGATGGTAACATGCTATTTCATTTCTGTGCCCGTAACAGTCTTGAAGATGCAGGAAGATACTCAGAAAAACAACCTTTCTCAACCCCTATGGCAGTGTATAAGTTGTGAAGAGAATTCGAAAAATCTGTAGTTCTAGCAGAACGAAATACTAGAAAAGTAGGGTTGTAACCTGTTCTGCTTTGCCTGCCATCCATAGATGTTTTTTTATTTGCTTGTTTTTATTTAATGGAAGTGCTCTGTCTTGTCCTGTCTTATGCTGCTACTTTATTATGCTGTGTCTCATTTGCCATGGATGGTTTCCCAAAGACTTACAGGTGTTTTTTTCAGCACGGTAGCCATGGCTTCAGTGTCGAGTTTTTGTTTTGCTTTGTTTTTCAGTCTTATTTGAAGACTTGCATCCTTTACCTTTAGGAAGCTCCCTTTCCCTTCCATTATTGCTGTTACGACCAACTTCAGTCCAAGAACTATCTTTATTTGTAAGCTCCTCAGTCTCCGTGAAAAGGTAGAAGTTGGCTTTATGAAACCTCTGCTTTTGGAAATAATCATAATTTAGTGTTGGCACAAGCAAGGTGATGCCAACTCAGAGAATCCTGTTTAAAAAACAGCATTAAGTTCCTAATTGACAAGTATGTATTCATCTTAATCTTCAAACAGTGGCTTGTAACTCAAGTTTGAGTAAACTACATAGCAGCTTATGTGTAAAACCGTGCCAGCCACACAATTATGTTCTTCATGTAAATTTCTTCCAAAGGTCTTGCTGTTTCTTCTTGATGAAAGCATATCTTGATCAGTGTGGGGGAGGAGGAAAGCAGGATTGTGGAAACATAGTTTGTATTTGCCTGCTAAAACTTTTTTGGCAGAACATGTGAAAATGCTTGCTGCTTTGAGGCATCTTATGACATGCTTTCTGTTAATGTTACAGCATATAGTGTCATCAACATGCAAGAAAGCTTAGACACATTTGTGTTTTTCGCTGTCATAGATTTTTTAAAATTCCTTGATTTATTAATATTACCTATTTAAAATTTGATGATGAGACTAAAGGGCCATGTTTCCAGTTCTTAAATGAATTTCTAACAATGAAAAGCTAGAGAAATCTCTCAATGGGGATAGATTGCCTAGTTTGCTGTATGTGAAGTCGCTTCAATGTGCCTTTGTAGCAGCAGGTCTCATCCTAAATGACATGAAATGTGATCCTTATCCAGTGGGGTATCCCTTCTTTCTTTTGAGACAGAGTGCAGATGTACCATATAAAGATTGTGGAAAAGGTATTTTATAAAATATAGTGCTTGTATCTACCTGATCTTAACCAGTTGCAAAAATAGTTTGTTTTTTACCCCCCTTTCATGTTCTGAAGTAGAAGTGTAACATTTTGTAGGCTCTTCTGTGCTATTCAAAAACATCGGTCTTGAATAAGAAAAAATAAGAGATGACGTTTCAAATGGAAGCTGTCATTTGATAGTAATTGAGCTATTTCAGCTCTTCTAGAGCATTATGTTGCAGAAATGTTAATAGTTAAAAGTATTGGGATGTCATTGCTGCTTTGGATAAGTTTAATGCCAGATTGAGAAAGATTTCTTCTTAGAGTTGTGCCAGAACCCTAGAAAATTGCTTAATATAGTGATGCTTTACGTGCCAAAAACTCTTAATGCCCTTTCACTACTGGGTTGCTTGTCTCCTATGTAGTGTGTGCTGATGTCATTAGAAATGCATTCGTTCTGCCTTTCCCTTGCGATCTTTCTTTTTAATAAATGGTTTTCTTGGGGGGGGGGGCAAGTTAGCGTATTGGCAGATTGGGTTCATCTTCTACTTAACTTTTACTTTTTGCTGACTGCCTCTGATCTCTTAGGTCTGCTTTCATCTCAGCTTAGTGTTTCTCATATTTGAATAAATCCTTTTCCTGAAGTTTCTGCCTTCTCGGTGGCAATCTTGCATTATGATCCTATCTTTTGAGGAAGGTCTTCAGATCTTGTCTTCGACTGCTCCTTAAATCTTCTGGAGATCCACAGACTGACGGTTCTGCCCTGATCATAGATAGTCTGGTGAACTAAATTTTTTATAATGATCCCTAAAGATGTCTTTAAGAGTGTTTTCTGAAAATTTTTTACGGATTGAGTTTGTGAAGACAATTCTCTTAATTTGATGTCTAGAGGAACCATATTGAAGAAGGGATGGCATCTGTAACTTCATAGAAAAAGATTGAAAACTAATTTTTTTAAGTCATTGAAAATTCTGTGGCAACTGCGTATTTCTTAAGGTGCTGTTCTTGGTTTTCTGTTCTGTTGTATGCCCATACAAACCAGGGGGTTAACTTATTGTAGGCATAGGCTAAATTTACACACAAGGTGATGTGTTTTTCCAGTTCCTCTGTTTAGCAGATCTGTTTGTTGTTAGCAGGTTGACCTGTAAAACTGGAAGATTAATTTTTCTAGAAGATTTTTGTAAAAGGCTTGCTGAAGCTTCTCCTTTGGGTATTTATCTGTGCTAGCTGCCTCCCTTAATAGATTACTACAGTCTCTTCTAGATGATATAAACTTTGTGTGTGCATGTGCATGCTATTCCTTCATGCTCTCCTGTCACTTTCTTCTTTCTTCAGAAAGTCTCAATAGTAGGATAAAAGTGCACAAACCAAACACTTGTTGGATCGAATAGTGTCCTTTTCACTGTGGTTACGTACTCACTGGAATGGAATAAAAGGATAGAAAGAAGTATCGTTCTTTTTTTTAATAGGTTTTTACTATATTGGAGTATTACAGGAAAAGTATTATTATAGAAGAACGGCTATATTCACCGCATCAGATTGTTGCTGTTGGAACTTGTTGGAATAGACATATAGCACGTTTAATGAAGGAGTTCATGAATGATCCTTACCTTGTGATAACCACTGTGGAAGAAGCTTCCATATATGGAAATGTGCAACAGGTAAAAATTTGGGAGTGATGCCACTATTTGTATGCTAAGATATTTTTATTGTCTGTGAACTGATTAAGCTCAGTATACAAGTCTGCTGGTTTACTTTAAGTGGTTAGTGCTGGCATCGTAACTTAAAACTCTGTTCAGATTCATTTGCCATATATCAGCTTCAGGTGATTCTTAGAAAACTTCTGTAACGTTAATCACTGAATGAGCTGAAGGTCTTTTAATGTGTTTTGTAGGACTGAGGTGAAGATATTCCCCCAGCTATTTCGTTATTAGTGCAAGTAGGTTTCAATTTTTATGAAGCGCTTGTAAATGGTATAGTTTGTGATGAAAATTTTATTAGAATGTGTTTGGAGTCATTAATTGGGAATGGCGGAGCTACAAAGTAAGTTTATTCCAAGGCAGTGCTTGTAAAATACTAGTTTTACTAATCTAAGCAGTGTGTGCTATACAACATGGAACTTGGTTTCTGGAAATTTTAGCTCAAAGTTATTAAATATTATTAGGTGTTTTTTCACTTAATTTCCAGTTAATATGCTGTAGTCCTTAAGAATAATCCAGAATGTTGTAACTGTGATCTGAGTTATTTTGTATCCGAGACTGTCATAAATTAGAGATTAAGTATATTTGGAAATTAGTATGACTAGACAGTTGAAACATGACACAAACCTGAAAAAAAAAAACCAAAAAATCCTTTCTAGTGATAAGTTGAATTTGTGGTTTGACAGGATGGAAAGTTGTCAGAGTTTTGATGCTTAGTTATTGACAGAGCTTTTCGGGCAGTGTAGTATGTTTTTTTTGGAGTGATACTTGGAAAATGCCAAACTTATATTGATAAATTTGATTAAAAAATTGGATAAATGAAAAATCATGGTGGCCTTTTCAATAGAGCGTTTTATTTAGATGTTTAAATACGGGGATGTGATTGTTATATGAATATATGCTTTTGAAAGCTATCCTAAATTGATCTTCTTTCAAAGAATGGTATCTTTTTTGTACTCTTAGCAGAAGAGTTAGTATGTACTGCCATCTCTTCGATTAGATGGTGTTACATAACATTTAACGCTTAATAAAAGGAAGAATTATGTAGCAGAATGTGTATGGATCACTTGAATCAGCAACCCTATGTTTTGTATTATCTTTTAGGTTGTGCAGCTTTGCTTAAACAGTGAGAGAATTGCTGTGTTGCTCAGAATACTGGATTTTACACCTAATGTTCAAAAGATGCTGATATTCACTAATTCAATAAATGAAGCAGAAATGGTTCATCAGGTAACAAAGTACAGTTTACATAGATACATGCTATTTAAAATGTTAATATGACAAGTTAAAATGTCTTGACTTCTGAGAAGAAAGAAGGAATATATGTTTGGAAGTTAGCTATTTCTTTCTGTTAAAAATAGCTCGCAGCCCCAACCTTCTGCCAGCTCTAGAAAAGCTTAAGTGACGGGAATGTCTTACGTAGAAAGCATCCAAACTTCAAATGGAATTTGCACCTCTTAAATAACTGTGATATGTTAATCTGTAAGAAGCTAGGCTTTATTAATTTTCTTTTAATACAGAAAATGAATAAGCTTAATCTTAAATATGAAATTTCTAGATTGTTTCTATGAAAAGTAACTTCTTTATTGGCTCTCCCTTTACAGTAACTAAGGTATGCTGGAGATTAACAAAATATACTAAAACTAGGGTTTATCAGAGCAGTTGCTGCGGTATTGGGGGAATATAACTTTTTATCTCCTCATCAGGCACTGAAGAGCAATTCAGTATTTTCCTTGAAAATACATAAAGAAAGCAAGTTTAATTTCAAAACTGTTTTAGAGCACTGGACAAAAAAATATAGTTCTGGCACTCATGTTGTGTTAGGTGAGTATTTTCTTCCTGTTCAGTTGTCAGTTTGTGATTATCTCTTCATGGTGAATTATGTTCTACTAGCTTATTTTGCTGTTGCTTACTCCGCAGAGTAAGTTCCCTATGAATTTTTCTTTTTTCAGTTATCGTTTACTTATTAGCGCTGCAGCTAATGCAGTTTCCGTTTTTCTGAATCCCAGGGCCAGTGGATGAGAGGAAAATCATTAGTAAGCCTTACGTATTAGAGGAAGCATAAGGGAGTTCTTTGAAATACTAGTACTAAAAAATGGTTGTTGTAACTGACTTTTAGAGAATCACAGAGTGGCTGAGGTTGGAAGGGTCCTCTGGAGATCATCTAGTCCAAACCTCCCTGCTCAAACAGGGTCATTTAGAGCATGGTGCACAGCATCGTGTCCAGGTGGGTTTTGAATATCTCTAGAGAAGGAGGCTCCACAGCCTCTCTGGGCAGCCTGTTCCAGTGCTCTGCCACCCTCACAGAACTTCTGCAGTTTCATGATTGTGTACTAATACAAAAGTATTTTCAGTATGAGGTAATTTAGAAGCTCATAAGCCTTGGCATAAACATTTTCCATGTGTTCTGGTAGAATTTTATTTTTTTAAGCTGCTTGCAGTAGCAAAGACTAGAGACTCTTAGGCAGTTTTAAACTTCATTTTTCCCTTTTGTACATTGAAAGCAGGAATATTGACTTAGTTACATCTGATCCATTGATCTGACTTTGTGTTAGCGTTTCTACGTTACTTCAGGTGTTTTCCATAATAGCTACGATCATACTTCCTGTATTGTTACAAGGCCATCTTAACACCCTAGTGGTTTGATAATCTTTATTTTTAGTAAAACTAATTAAACAAAAAGAAAAAAGGAAAAAAAAGGCAATCACTTTGAAGTGTTGAAGGCTCTTTTAATTGGAGAAGGATTACTGGAAAATGATATTTCATTTTCACAACAGTTCATATTCAGGCCCGAGCAGTACAGGGAGAACTTTTTTTTCCTCATACCGCATAGCGTGTTACAGGTTGACAGTGAAATGCCATCACGAGTCAAGTTCTAGGCTTCAAGTCAAGCTCTGGATCTTCATGAGAAACCAGCTCATCATCTTTATCAGCCAAGAGCTAACCACCCATGCCTATCCCATCTAGGCTGGTGCTAGGTACTGAAGGAGAAAGACTGTTCTGACTTTGTGTGCATCACTTTAGTAGTAGATCTTTGTCACCTACGGGCTCCACATGTCTTAAGTCTTTCTAAAAGCAGAGAACTCTGAGTGCTTGCTTTCTTCACTGTTGTTGTTGTAATAGTAGGTATCTGCCTGCTGTGATGATGACTCATTTCAGGAACTTCTCAAGAGAATGCCCTGGTCAGATTTTTCCGTAGTCTCGTATTTTACAGTAACTATCCCAAGCTTCATTGCTGTTAATGGATTCAGCTGCTTGCTTCTTACTTCTCCCTGTCCTTCCTCCTTCCCTTATGTCCTTTGACCCTCTCCCTCAGCAAGTTGAAAGGAAATAGAAATGCCAAGTGTCAAATCGTTATTTCTGTACTCCT